ACACTGCATTTTACTGGACGCTCCTGCGTACTGGCGTCGATACTTTTGCGGGACATCTTCTGCAACAACATCGGCAGCTGCTTGCCTGTCTCACTGCGCTATCATCAACTTGCTCCTCTCTTCCGTTGCACCAACAAGAACATCCGCCGGAGCTTTTGTTGTCCGCTTTGTGCCACATTCGCCGTCCGCCTGGCTCTAATATCGGCGCGCTCCACGGAGTTGCGCTTACGTCATCTTCCGTCGCTCTCCTGACGCTCCATCAACAACATCAGCCGGAGCTCTTGTTGTCCGCTTTGCGCGACATTCGCCGTCCTCCTGGCCCTAATATCGGCGCGCTCCTCGGAGTTGCGCTTTCATTATCTTCCTTCTCTCTCCCGAAGTACCTAGAACATCTGGATTCTTACTCTTCATCGCCTAATAGATATGCGCTCGACGCTTTTGACGTTCGACTTTCTAAAACAACTTTTCTCGACACATTTGGCTGGATGGCGAACCTCTCAGAGTGCTCTCTGGAGATGCTCTCGCCATCAACAACAACAATGGCATTTTACTGTGGCATTTTTTAAGAAATTATTAGCTACAGCTGTTCAGCTCAGCTCTTATGGAATGGTAGATATTGGGTGAGCTCGGTGGGAATGGGAGTCTAACATTTGTCAAAGGCGCATCCATCCCCCAATTTGGCAAGCATTTTTGGAAAGAAATTGAATGGAAGGAAATTGTTATAAACACTTAAAAGGGTCTTAACGGTTATAGATTGTGGAAACTATAGTCCCTATTCTCTAGGTCCTATGCACTATATTTTCACGACGGAATGGAAATCTCACTCTTGATAAATTTTCCAATTTAAAAAAAAAACGCTAAAAACGTACCACATGCAAGCCCTCAAGTTGTATTTGTTTTGCGTTGCTGCCACGAATGGCGGAAATGCCAACTGTTTCACACGAAGTGCTATGTTGGAAGAGGCTATTAGCGCTGAAATTGTTTCTGCGGCAAGCCTGATATAAATATTTGTATATATTTCTCACATCTCTAATGGATATTATTAGAAGTGGTTACAGATAGATCAATGTGTGGAATATTTTGCTCAATTTTGCATAATGTTGGATTACATTCACTTAAGATTCCAAACGCACTGAAAGAAATTCTGAGAAATCGTGGCCCTGATGTGCAAGACGAAATAATCGTAGATTATGATGCTGGACAAATAATTTTTTCCGGCAACGTATTATGGCAACAGGGGGAAAGTATTCAAAAACAACCCGTGGTTACCAATGACATCATATTCCTCTTTAATGGAGACATTTACAATTTACCAAAGCCAGAGTCGATGTCTGATACGTCTTGGATAGCGAGCAAAATATCAGAATGCCGAAATAATGAAAATAAGCTACTGCAGCTGTTGAAGAAATGGGAGGGACCTCATTGTTTTATAATTTATGACAAACGAGATCAAATACTTTATTTCTCTCGCGATGCACTGGGAAGAAATTCGTTAATTATTGAACGCATTCCGAAGGGTTTACATTTATTGAGCACATCCCACTGTTTTGAAAATGATAAATTATCATTGGAACTGCCACCACTGGGCCTTTATAAAGTTAACATTAACGATCTTACTTCATGCATATTGCACCCGTGGCAGCCTCTAAATAATTATTGTGTTGAGCTATTAAGCAGACTTGACCAATTAGTTGGCTGGAAAACTACAGTGGAGAGTCCAATGTCCCCAGAGTGGATGTTAAAAAGTAAGCTCACATTTGATTACGACTTCTATAAATATACATATACCGACAGTCATGTAGACCTTTACAACAAACTAATTAGTCATCCACAAATCAAGGAGTCACTAGCGACACTCCATAAACTGCTATCCAACTCGGTAAGAAATCGGGTTACAAACAAGGCCCCACTTTGCCGCCTTTGCTTGGAAAAAATGACAACTTTATGCGAACATGCCAAGTTGTGTATATTATTTTCGGGTGGCATCGACTGCACCATCTTGGCCTTGCTAGCTAACGAATTTGTAGCACAAAATGAACCGATAGAGCTTATTAATGTAGCTTTTGAAAGCGTTGAGGATCAAAATATTTCTGAGAAGCTATGGGACGTTCCCGATTCGCAAAACTGCACTGCTATCTATCAATGAACTAAAGCAACTTTGTCCCAAGAGGTGCTGGAAACTCTTAGAAGTTAATGTAACCCGTCGGGAATTGGACCAGACTCTTACAACACGTATCAGGCACCTAATATATCCACTTGAAACAGTTTTAGATGAGAGTCTCGGTTGTGCCTTTTGGTTTGCTTCGCATTGCGATAGCTCTACTGCCAGAGTCGCCCTAATTGGTAGTGGGGCAGATGAATTATTTGGTGGGTATGCCCGCCATCGCAAGAGCTTCATGCATTGCCAGGGCAGCGCCACAGAACGCCAGCTTGCCGTGCACAACGAACTTGAAATGGACTGGCAACGAATACCTGCCCGGAATTTAGCCAGAGACGACCGAGTTATTGCAGATAATGGTAAAACGGCTAGATCCCCATTTATCGAGGAGAACGTTGTTAAATTTATTAGATCTTTAGAAGTGTACCAAAAATGTTGCTTTTGTTTCCCCGAAGGTGTCGGTGATAAATTGCTTCTAAGACTATATGGCTATCAAATAGGACTGTTCGGATCACGAATTGCAAACAAAAAACATAAAGCTGTTCACCAGTCGGATACTCTTAAACAAAAGCTGGCAACAAAAGTAAACTTAAGCCATGAATTTTCTTAATTAATTAAATATAAAAAACACGGTTTAAAAAGGTTAATTTTTTTAATTTTGCGCCAGATTAATTAACGGAAACCACACCCACCATTGGGGTTTTTTAACACATTTTTTTTGTATCTTAGCAACTTCTACAACAACTGCAGAAAGAAAACCACCATTGTAACCTGTTATTATACCTGCTACTCGTAGAGTAAAAGGGTATTTTGTATTCGGGGAAAAGTTCGTGACAGGTAAAAGGTAGCGTTTTCAAGCCCATAAAGTATATAAATTTGTCGGAGAATTAAAGTCATCTCCATGCAGGTCGTCATTGTTGGACGCTTGATCTTTCGGCTTCTGGTGTTCCGTGTCTCAATTCTGGCGGATGCAGCTCTTCTTCAGTCTTCGTTGCCTTTGTTGCTCATTATTGTCTCTTAGATACACTCGCATGACAACCTTACGCCACGATAAAAACCAGAAGGACACGAGAGAGCAGATCTATCAACGCATACAAAGTCTGCCAGCAGAACCCATGGTCAGACCTTATCGAAATGCTGCATTACTTCCTCTCCGACATATCCTTTATCAGGATCCCTTATACCTGTTACTCGTAGAGTAAAAGGGTATATTGTATTCGGGGAAGCGTTTTCGAGGCCATAAAGTACACTGGTCGGCATAAGTATTTTGACAAAACAAAAGTTAAATATACTCATAATTTGAACTTACTTCTTGTAAACTTTGACATCAATAGAAAGGTAAATAATAGTAACTGAAAAAAGAATTTCTCAAAAATCATTTTGCTTATATTTTGTATGATTTTTTATAGGTAAAAATGTCGGAAAAACTTGTATGAAAAAAGAAAAACAGCTCAAATGAATGTTTCTAAACATTTTCAAAAAATCATAAAAAATATAAGCAAACTGATTTTTTTTACTATTATTTTTGTTTAAAGAAACTGCAACAAAAAATGGAAAAAAAATTTAAAACGTAGATTTTTACACAAGTTCGACCTTTTTAATAAGTACTGAACGGGTTAAAAAAAAATGTATTGTATAATTTAAACTGCACTTAAATTACCTTTCCATTGATGCCAAAGTGTACAAAAAGTAAGTTCAAATTATGAGTATACTTTACTTTTGTTTCGTCAAAATACTTATGCCGACCAGTGTATAAGTTAACTAAAGGCAACCGGACTGAGAGTCAATGTCCGAAGATTAAGCGCTGGCCAAATTGCTGACACTGCATTTTACTGGACGCTCCTGCGTACTGGCGTCGATACTTTTGCGGGACATCTTCTGCAACAACATCGGCAGCTGCTTGCCTGTCTCACTGCGCTATCATCAACTTGCTCCTCTCTTCCGTTGCACCAACAAGAACATCCGCCGGAGCTTTTGTTGTCCGCTTTGTGCCACATTCGCCGTCCGCCTGGCTCTAATATCGGCGCGCTCCACGGAGTTGCGCTTACGTCATCTTCCGTCGCTCTCCTGACGCTCCATCAACAACATCAGCCGGAGCTCTTGTTGTCCGCTTTGCGCGACATTCGCCGTCCTCCTGGCCCTAATATCGGCGCGCTCCTCGGAGTTGCGCTTTCATTATCTTCCTTCTCTCTCCCGAAGTACCTAGAACATCTGGATTCTTACTCTTCATCGCCTAATAGATATGCGCTCGACGCTTTTGACGTTCGACTTTCTAAAACAACTTTTCTCGACACATTTGGCTGGATGGCGAACCTCTCAGAGTGCTCTCTGGAGATGCTCTCGCCATCAACAACAACAATGGCATTTTACTGTGGCATTTTTTAAGAAATTATAAGCTACAGCTGTTCAGCTCAGCTCTTATGGAATGGTAGATATTGGGTGAGCTCGGTGGGAATGGGAGTCTAACATTTGTCAAAGGCGCATCCATCCCCCAATTTGGCAAGCATTTTTGGAAAGAAATTGAATGGAAGGAAATTGTTATAAACACTTAAAAGGGTCTTAACGGTTATAGATTGTGGAAACTATAGTCCCTATTCTCTAGGTCCTATGCACTATATTTTCACGACGGAATGGAAATCTCACTCTTGATAAATTTTCCAATTTAAAAAAAAAACGCTAAAAACGTACCACATGCAAGCCCTCAAGTTGTATTTGTTTTGCGTTGCTGCCACGAATGGCGGAAATGCCAACTGTTTCACACGAAGTGCTATGTTGGAAGAGGCTATTAGCGCTGAAATTGTTTCTGCGGCAAGCCTGATATAAATATTTGTATATATTTCTCACATCTCTAATGGATATTATTAGAAGTGGTTACAGATAGATCAATGTGTGGAATATTTTGCTCAATTTTGCATAATGTTGGATTACATTCACTTAAGATTCCAAACGCACTGAAAGAAATTCTGAGAAATCGTGGCCCTGATGTGCAAGACGAAATAATCGTAGATTATGATGCTGGACAAATAATTTTTTCCGGCAACGTATTATGGCAACAGGGGGAAAGTATTCAAAAACAACCCGTGGTTACCAATGACTTCATATTCCTCTTTAATGGAGACATTTACAATTTACCAAAGCCAGAGTCGATGTCTGATACGTCTTGGATAGCGAGCAAAATATCAGAATGCCGAAATAATGAAAATAAGCTACTGCAGCTGTTGAAGAAATGGGAGGGACCTCATTGTTTTATAATTTATGACAAACGAGATCAAATACTTTATTTCTCTCGCGATGCACTGGGAAGAAATTCGTTAATTATTGAACGCATTCCGAAGGGTTTACATTTATTGAGCACATCCCACTGTTTTGAAAATGATAAATTATCATTGGAACTGCCACCACTGGGCCTTTATAAAGTTAACATTAACGATCTTACTTCATGCATATTGCACCCGTGGCAGCCTCTAAATAATTATTGTGTTGAGCTATTAAGCAGACTTGACCAATTAGTTGGCTGGAAAACTACAGTGGAGAGTCCAATGTCCCCAGAGTGGATGTTAAAAAGTAAGCTCACATTTGATTACGACTTCTATAAATATACATATACCGACAGTCATGTAGACCTTTACAACAAACTAATTAGTCATCCACAAATCAAGGAGTCACTAGCGACACTCCATAAACTGCTATCCAACTCGGTAAGAAATCGGGTTACAAACAAGGCCCCACTTTGCCGCCTTTGCTTGGAAAAAATGACAACTTTATGCGAACATGCCAAGTTGTGTATATTATTTTCGGGTGGCATCGACTGCACCATCTTGGCCTTGCTAGCTAACGAATTTGTAGCACAAAATGAACCGATAGAGCTTATTAATGTAGCTTTTGAAAGCGTTGAGGATCAAAATATTTCTGAGAAGCTATGGGACGTTCCCGATCGCAAAACTGCACTGCTATCTATCAATGAACTAAAGCAACTTTGTCCCAAGAGGTGCTGGAAACTCTTAGAAGTTAATGTAACCCGTCGGGAATTGGACCAGACTCTTACAACACGTATCAGGCACCTAATATATCCACTTGAAACAGTTTTAGATGAGAGTCTCGGTTGTGCCTTTTGGTTTGCTTCGCATTGCGATAGCTCTACTGCCAGAGTCGCCCTAATTGGTAGTGGGGCAGATGAATTATTTGGTGGGTATGCCCGCCATCGCAAGAGCTTCAAGCATTGCCAGGGCAGCGCCACAGAACGCCAGCTTGCCGTGCACAACGAACTTGAACGAATACCTGCCCGGAATTTAGCCAGAGATTTTATTAGATCTTTAGAAGTGTACCAAAAATGTTGCTTTTGTTTCCCCGAAGGTGTCGGTGATAAATTGCTTCTAAGACTATATGGCTATCAAATAGGACTGCGAGGCGTAGTATTGCTTAAGAAACGAGCTATTCAGTTCGGATCACGAATTGCAAACAAAAAACATAAAGCTGTTCACCAGTCGGATACTCTTAAACAAAAGCTGGCAACAAAAGTAAACTTAAGCCATGAATTTTCTTAATTAATTAAATATAAAAAACACGGTTTAAAAAGGTTAATTTTTTTTAATTTTGCGCCAGATTAATTAACGGAAACCACACCCACCATTGGGGTTTTTTAACACATTTTTTTTGTATCTTAGCAACTTCTACAACAACTGCAGAAAGAAAACCACCATTGTAACCTGTTATTATACCTGCTACTCGTAGAGTAAAAGGGTATTTTGTATTCGGGGAAAAGTTCGTGACAGGTAAAAGGTAGCGTTTTCAAGCCCATAAAGTATATAAATTTGTCGGAGAATTAAAGTCATCTCCATGCAGGTCGTCATTGTTGGACGCTTGATCTTTCGGCTTCTGGTGTTCCGTGTCTCAATTCTAGCGGATGCAGCTCTTCTTCAGTCTTCGTTGCCTTTGTTGCTCATTATTGTCTCTTAGATACACTCGCATGACAACCTCACGCCACGATAAAAACCAGAAGGACACGAGAGAGCAGATCTATCAACGCATACAAAGTCTGCCAGCAGAACCCATGGTCAGACCTTATCGAAATGCTGCATTACTTCCTCTCCGACATATCCTTTATCAGGATCCCTTATACCTGTTACTCGTAGAGTAAAAGGGTATATTGTATTCGGGGAAGCGTTTTCGAGGCCATAAAGTACACTGGTCGGCATAAGTATTTTGACAAAACAAAAGTTAAATATACTCATAATTTGAACTTACTTCTTGTAAACTTTGACATCAATAGAAAGGTAAATAATAGTAACTGAAAAAAGAATTTCTCAAAAATCATTTTGATTATATTTTGTATGATTTTTATACCCGTTACTCGTAGAGTAAAAGGGTATACTAGATTCGTCGGAAAGTATGTAACAGGCAGAAGGAAGCGTTTCCGACCCCACAAAGTATATATATTCTTGATCAGGATCACTAGCCGAGTCGATCTAGCCATGTCCGTCTGTCCGTCTGTCCGTCTGTCCGGATGAACGCTGAGATCTCGGAAACTATGGGAGCTAGGCTATTGAGATTTGGCGTGCAGATTCCTGAGCTTCTTACGCAGCGCAAGTTTGTTTCAGCACAGTGCCACGCCCACTCTAACGCCCACAAACCGCCCAAAACTGTGGCTCCAACAGTTTTGATGCTAGAATAAAAATTTTAACTGAAATGTATTGTTCTCATCAATACCTATCGATTGACCCAAAAAAAAGTTTGCCACGCCCACTTTAACGACAACAAACCGCGAAAACCTGTGACGCCCACAATTTTCATGCTAGATAAAAAATTTTAACTGAAATGTGTTGGTCTCGTCGATACCTATCGATTGGTCCAAAAAAAATTTGCTACGCCCACTCTAACGCCCATAACGCTTAAATCTGTATACCGCCGGTAGGTGGCGCATTTTAATCTCGCTTTGCTGCTTGCATATCTCCATTTAGCTGAGTAACGGGTATCTGATAGTCGAGGTACTCGACTATAGCGTTCTTCCTTGTTTATAGGTAAAAATGTCGGAAAAAACTTGTATGAAAAAAGAAAAACAGCTCAAATGAATGTTTCTAAACATTTTCAAAAAATGATAAAAAATATAAGCAAACTGATTTTTTTACTATTATTTTTGTTTAAAGAAACTGCAACAAAAAATGGAAAAAAAATTTAAAACGTAGATTTTTACACAAGTTCGACCTTTTTAATAAGTACTGAACGGGTTAAAAAAAAATGTATTGTATAATTTAAACTGCACTTAAATTACCTTTCCATTGATGCCAAAGTGTACAAAAAGTAAGTTCAAATTATGAGTATACTTTACTTTTGTTTCGTCAAAATACTTATGCCGACCAGTGTATAAGTTAACTAAAGGCAACCGGACTGAGAGTCAATGTCCGAAGATTAAGCGCTGGCCAAATTGCTGACACTGCATTTTACTGGACGCTCCTGCGTACTGGCGTCGATACTTTTGCGGGACATGTGTCCAAATATATGTTAGTAGACCCGTTACTGAAATACATGCCTGTGTCCGTATAAGTAATAAAATGTTGTCACTAATTGAAAAATGAGATATGCGCACATTAACTGTAGCTTTTAATTGTCCGTTATGTGGTTAACTCAAGACGTTTTGACCATGTATCACAGCTGACATATAATATACTTGACCATAATTTGACCTCCTGGATCGATCTTAGAACTTTAATATTCTTTCACAAAACAGTAACGAGTAACGTAAATAAACTTACCCCAGCAACATCTTTAAGAACCCAAAATTACATATGCCCTCGAATACAAACAATGTGTTAAAGAAGGCTACATTTCATAAATGGTATTCGGTTATGGAACAATCTACCGCATAGACAATACCGCATTTATAATAAAGTTAAAGATCTCTTAAAATACCAGTACAAATAGGTATAATAAAAAATAAAATAAAATTAAATTAAAAAATATTAAAAACAATAATAATAGTAACTAAGAAACTACGAACAAATATTAAAAACGATAACAATAGTAACTAAGAAACTACAAAAATTTGATTTTAGTCATAAACATTAATTATAAAAGTGAGAAAAATTGTTTTAATAATTTAAAAATAATAATAACTTTAAAATATCAACTCAATGTGACTAGCGCGATAATTATTTATTTATTTATTTGTACACTGAAGGCTTACTTATAAAAACTAAGCTACAGGGAGTGATGACAGCCATAGCTGCTGAGGCTTTCGGCTGATTACATTTTCATCTATTTCTTATTTATTATATAAGATTTAACACTTAACATTTAGCTTACGAATAACAAATAACACTTAATTAGGAAACATAGAAATCTTAATTTTGATACATGATATTAGAAAGTAGCTTTAAATTCTCATCTTGTAGCCTTATAGTTCATTCATGATGATGGCTTTTTTTAGAAATGTAAGAAGGATAAGTATGTTTTCAGGTTTTGGATTAGTTAAGAAAGGGATGAGATCGGAGTTTGGGGTTTTGGGTCTAGTATTGTGGAAGGATGGGCATTCGTGCAAGATATGTGTAATCGTTGTGTCCGTGCTATTGCAAAATTTGCATTGGTTAGATGGAGGTTGAACGAATCTATTGCATGGGTCAGTTATGAGTTAAAAAAAATTGATTACATAAATAAAAACAACAATAGACTAGTATGCTGGAAAAGAAATATTAAAATTAAATAGGATGTTAAGATTGATTTTTAAATGAATATCTGGTGTACAACAGCCTACTAGGCTTTTTATACCCGTTACTCGTAGAGTAAAAGGATATACTAGATTCGTCGGAAAGTATGTAACAGGCAGAAGGAAGCGTTTCCGACCCCATAAAGTATATATTCTTGATCAGGATCACTAGCCGAGTCGATCTAGCCATGTCCGTCTGTCCGGATGAGCGCTGAGATCTCGGAAACTATAAGAGCTAGGCTATTGAGATTTGGCGTGCAGATTCCTGAGCTTCTTACGCAGCGCAAGTTTGTTTCAGCAATGTTTCACGCCCCCTCTTACGCCCACAAACCGACCAAAAAGTCTTAACTGAAGTGTATTGTTCTCATCAATACCTATCGGTTCACTGAAAAAAAAAATTGCCACGCCCACTCTAACACTCACAAACCGCCCAAGCCTGTGACGCCCACAGTTTTCATGCTAGATACAAAATTTTAACTGAAATGTATTGGTCTCGTCAATACCTATCGATTGATCCAAAAAAAAATTTGCCACGCCCACTCTAACGCCCATAACGCTTAAATCTGTCTACCGCCGGTAGGTGGCGTATTTTAATCTCGCTTTCCTGCTTGCATATCTCCATTTCCCTTTAGCTGAGTAACGGGTATCTGATAGTCGAGGCACTCGACTATAGCGTTCTTCCTTGTTTAAATTGCTTTTATTGATTTGTTTTCCGTATGTCAAAAAACCTAACTGTTTGATAGTAAGACCATGCTTCATGCGAGAACACTTTCAAATCTTCGGTCACACTATAGAAGAATTCGATTTTTTTATTTGTGAAACTCAGCCAATAACAGGGACTTTGCAATTTCTTTCTTTTATTGTTTTTTGACTAATCGAGTGGCACTTATCAAATTTTCCGGCTTATTTTGGTTTTTCCTTCCCGATTTAATTTCTTTCGTTTGCAGACTCTGAAATTTTTCAGTTTTGCGCTTGAAGCTGGAAGCACAAATCACATTAGTTTTATATTTTGTCTACAATATCCTCTCTCACATAAGAAATTTTGCAGCTGGTGAGACGTTTAACCAGATCTTGCAAATAACCCAATTTTCGAATAACAAATCAACATTCAGTCCAAATCAATATTGATTATATGTTGTTTAGCTCTAGAAATAAAGACTTTTCTATAAGTTTTCATTTTCGGTTGACAAATAGCTTTCTCTTTGAATTTTATTTTTTCTTGATCGAAAATAAAACTTGAACTGAAATTTGCTCCAATTTAAGAAATCTAATAAGTCAACCGCGAGCAACACTTTGAAAACCTAGTTACACTATTAGACTCTTCACAATCGCTGTTCTTAATCGGACTCTAATTCACATAGAGAATCGCTGAAGCGAACAGCTGCAGCGAAGTGCTGATCGACATAAGCAAACCATGTCCGAAAAGAGAGTGCGTGCAAAATTAGTTGCCCTGAAATAAATTCAAAAAAACATAAAAGTAATTACAATTTAAACGCTAACCAACCATTTTTTTGTTATTTTATTAAAGTCAGCAAATATCTGCCAACATAAACATAGCCCCGTCGTGGGCAAAGACAGGTGGGTTAAGATGTTTGTTACATTCAAATGTACAGAGCATTCAGTGAATATCAAACAATTAAAATAAGTCTTACAAATTTCTAGGGCATTAGGTCGAAAGTGACGAGTTTACCTTACAGGGATAGAGAACTGTATTTGACCAAGAAGGTAACTCTAATTTACAGGTCCAGTGATTAATTTGTGAAGGAACATAACACCATGGCAGGTCCGACGATCCTTGAATGAGAGAAAGTTCAGTAGACGCAGTTACGATGTGTTTCACAGTTTAAAACACGTAATGCAAACAAAAGGAACTGTTTCTTTACCGATTCGATAAGGTCCTGGTACTTAGCATATTGAGGTGACTAAACACACGAGCAGTATTTAAGTATTGGACGAACCAAGGAAATGTATAAGTGTTTCGTGGTATAGGGGTCCTTAAATTCCTTTGACTAACGCTTGACAAAGGCAAAA